GGCAGTTTCCGATGATGGAAGATGGAGATGCTTTTACATCAAGGCCTAAAAGACTCTTGTTCTGGCTCTCCCACGCTCTCTCACGCTTCCTTCACACTCCCACGCTTTTTCACTCCCACACTCTCCCACTCGGACACTCTCTCTCTCGCTGTTGTTACATTCCGCGATTTCCACCGACGCATAAAAAAAAACGAGAAGGGACGTGTGAGACGCTTCTTACGCGTCACAACTTTTATACCCGGCACTCAGTACTACATCTGCCCCTTAGCGGTTTTTTTTTACATTTTTTTACATATTTTTTACATATATTTTACATATTTTCTTCATCTGTCATCTACATCTACTACACTTCTCACACCAACACGCTCCTTTAGCTCGCCGCCCTTCCCTAAACACACACACTGCAGACTCGCGGCAGAGGCAGAGGCAGCGCCCGTACACAAAAAAAAAAAACAAATATAAGCTGTGGGACGGGGTCGGTTAAAAGTCGGTAGAGGCATGGCAGAGGGAGGGCAGAGGCAGGGGCCAAGTGAAGCAGAAGCAGAGTGTGAACACGAGAATGTGAAAAGAACAACAAAAGCTGTGGGACAGGGTGGGTTTAGCCACTGCAAATTAATTTCTTCATTGTGGCTATAATACCAATCGGATCCCAATTTGGTGATCTGATAGATATGGTCATTCCCCACAGAATGGCGTTTTTAGTTTTCTTTTATCTTCAAAATTGTAGATTTGGGAGGTTTTCGCCCTTTTGCGGGGGCGGAAAGGGCCGTGGCTCAGTTTTCAAATACACTTGTAACAGTGTGAGCATACAGAAGTCTGAACAGGACTGGTCTAGACATGGCTCAATCGACTCGGCTATTGATGCTGATCAAGAATATATATACTTTATGTGGTCGGAAACGTTTCTTCTGTGTGTTACGTACATTCACTTCGTGCAAAAATACAATATTTACTCTTCGAGTTCCGGGTATACAAAATATTTACGGCAATGCCACCTCAGCGCATCAGCATCCAATTCCAATCGATTTCAGGATCCTCTGTTGCTCTGCAGACAAACTACAGTGGTCCCTCAGTTAGTGCTCAGTTGTCGGAGCCATTTATCCAGTGATTAAGTAGAATGAATATCAAAATGAACTTGCGTTCAATTGCTAATTAAATAGAGAAAATAATTTGTCCTTCCAAAACTAATACTTCGTATAATGTCAGTTTAATTTCCAAAACCTGCCAAAAGATTAATAGATCGGCATTGGGAAAAGCAAGGTAGCCATCAGTAGCCCTAATTATGTCCACTCGTGTCCCTGGCCTGCTAGGACACTGGAGGCATGACAGAAAAATATTTCTTGGAAAACAGACAAACAAGGTGTGTGGGCGTTTTACCATCGCAACGTGGGTGGTTCTGGGTGTGCGTTGGTGTGCTTACGCAGGAGCACGGGCGATGGCAAAAGCATGGCAAATGAGATCTGATCTAGATCAGCACTAGGCTGGTCTCAAAGGTAAGCCAAAAAAATTCCCTTGAGAGCATTTGCTAATAGAGCAAACTGTGCCAAGAAGAGTTCAGTGGCAATGGTATGTCCCAGTGCTTGTCACGTGTTTGCCATGAAGAGAGCTGTAATTAGAAATAATGTACGATAGAGGCAGGAAAATACACAAATTTGATGCGCCGCCATGCATTGGCTATTGCTTAGATTAATGGTAGTTATAGCAAACACTGGACATCAAATCGTTGCCCTAGTGCTTTAACAACAAAAAGAGAACCCGAGAGGGCAAAAACTCAGGATATGGCATGATTCCAAAAACAAAGGCAACTCCATGGCACTCCATCAACAATTACACAGCTTCTATCAGAATTCGAATAAAAAATGTTCACCAATGTGATGTTTTTGCTGTGCAGTGCACTGTAGTGTATTGACACTTTATCATTACACACATGCTACTAATTATTTTTGGGTATTGAAAGAAAACGAGAAGGGACGTGTGAGACGCTTCTTACTCGTCACAACTTTTATACCCGGCACTCAGTACTACATCTGCACCTTAGCGGTTATTTGACAAATTTTACATTTTTTCTTCATCTGTCATCTACATCAACAACATTACTCACGCCAACACGCTCCTTTAGCTCGCCACCCTCCCCTAGAGCCACACACTGCAGAGTCAGGGCAGAGGCATAGACGCGGCAGAGGCGGAGGCAGAGGCCGCCCACTGCGCGAAGCAGAGTGTGAATGAGAGAATGTGCAAAACACAAATATAAGCTTCGGGACGTAATGGGTTTAGCCACTGCAAATTAATTTCTTCATTGTGGCCATAATAATGATCCAATCGGACCCCAATTTGGTGATCTGATAGATATGGGCATTCCCTACGAAATGGCGTTGGGAGATTTGGGAGGTTTTCGCCCTTTTGCGGGGGCGGAAGGGGGCGGGGCTCATTTTTGAAATACCCTGGTTTCAGTGTGAGCATACAGCAGTCTAGAGCCAACATTTGGTGGATCTAGCTCTTATAGTCTCTGAGAACTAGCCGACAAACAAGACGGACAGACGGACGGACGGACAGACGGACAGAAAGACATGGCTCAATCGACTTGGCTATTGATGGTGATCAAGAATATATATACTTTATGGGGTCGGAAACGTTTCCTTCTGTGCGTTACATACAACCGTTATTCCCCACAAATACTATATACCTATTTACTCTTCGAGTACCGGGTATACAAATTCCGTCTTACAAGCTGAGCGCAGAGATCCCTACTTTGTTGCGATGTGCTATTATGACGGTCCTTATACCAGTCCTAGACTCCAGTCCCTTAAACACTTAGAGGCACGAGAGAGAAGTCCACAAATGCATGGACACTCCCAGGAATAGGTACTGGCTTGAGATGGGTTCGCATTAGTGTGGGAAAGAGTGTAGGAAAGAGTGTTAGAAGGAACAGGAACTACATAAACTCGTGACAAAGAAAGGAAACAAAGTAACGTACGAGCTTAACGACTGCGACCATAACCCGTAGCAGCAGCAGCAGGAGGAGAAGCACAAGGAGCAGGAGTAGCAGCAGTAGAAGGAGAAGCAGAGATGTTCAAGTGCCTGACACGGACACGGTAGGTGGTTCCATTTTAGGTAGGTACAGCGCGTTGAGCGTTAGAGAGAAAAATAGGATTAGCTTCAGGGTGCGCGGCTTTCCATACACTTGCAGATCCATCAATTAGCGTTTATCAATCGCTGCATTATCAATTGAAAATATCAAATTTAGACAGGAAAAAAGAAAAGGCTCTTTCCTTGCGGAGATGCAGACGTCTGGTCAAACTTGAAGTACCTTTTGTGAGAGTATAAAACGGGCAAGAATAATGGAAGGCATCAAAGTTTATGTGTTTTCACCTTTAACGCCGCTTGGCCGGAGCTCCAGAAGAAGTTAGAGAAGAATAAGGAGGACGAGGGAGTAGACGGAACAGAAGGCGTAGCCGCCGTAGCAGCGGTTCGTTGTCAATGTTGATGATTTATTGTCAGCCAAAATATTTATGGTACTACAGCTCGGATGCTCGAAAGGTGGAATTATCAAGCATACGCAGCGCTGGTCACCATGACAGCCAGATCCCGGGCCAAGATAGTGCCAGGGAGCCATAGAGCCAGAGCCATGACCAAAGCGAGAGCCACAACCAACGAGCAATTTCCAGCTGCACTCAAATGCTTGGCTGTCGCTGCCTCCCCCCTAGCGCAACTGCTGCTCCTTTTGTGCTTCTTTTGTGTTGCACTTGGTTAGAACTAGCACTCCCAGGGCAGATCGGATTGAAATGGCTTCCTTGGCAACGGCCAGGGCATGCAAATCCCGTTTGTTTGTGAACCCCCCAGGCTGCATGCACCTCATTCTGGTTTCTGCTGCGTATTTCAGGTGATTCCACATAGTGGCCTCGGGCGCCACTTTAAAACCTTCGCTTTGACAGATTCTCAAAGGCTTTCCATTTAAAGTCGTGGCCCGAGCACAGGTGGTTTAGCGTCAGGGTGGTGTCCCCCGAAAAGGAGCTGAAAGGAGAGCACTGAGGACCGTGGCCCGTGGACTCCGTAATTACTTTCCCCGTCTGGCATGCAACTGTTTGCCCTTCATTGTCCTTTTTGTTTTTATGTTTTTTTGTGGCGTTTTTGTGGGTCCTTGATGCTCCACTTGTTGGTCTTGTGACGAAAACTGCAAAACGTGCAAAACTGATTTTCTTGGAATTTTTCACATTACGTAAATATGTACGTCAAGGGCAATGGGAAAGAACATTATTAAGGTTCATTTTTGAGTAGAAGCCATAGGACTATGCCAGAAAATATACTTACTTATTGTAATTGCGATGGGTGAACAATCTTTATGCTGGGATCTCGTTGAGAGATTTCACTGTTTCTACGTATCTGTATACGCCTTGAAAGGTAGTTTTATTCCAAGGAAATATAATTATTTCTGGGTGAATAAATGTTGGTCCCAATTGTACGAATAAATACAAAATACTTATACTTGCCTACGAAATGTTTTATTTTTCAAATAAAACCATGAACCAAATATGATCGAATAAACACAAAATTATAATATGTTGACAGGTAATATTGTTGTAATATGATTAAGTATACGTATTAAATGTTGTTCTTTTTAGTAATTATTTTCCATTTTTATTTGCAATAACATTGTGTTCGAGAACAGCGCACACAAAAGGAATGTTGTGAGATTTCGGGATTAGGTGCACATCACATTCCCCCCCTTCCACATTCACAAAAGCATTGAGGATGAAGCTCAAGGCCCATCAGCAAGAGCGTCACTAACAGAGAGGCGTAACAGGGTAACAGAGCTTTCTCCGAAAAGCTTTCGGAGCGACGACAGCAGTGCGAGCGAGCGCCAACAACAAGAACAGCGGCAGCGGACAGGCAGCAGAAGCAGCAGCAGCAGCTAACAGTTCGGAGAGGCGACTCAACAGCTGGCAAGCGACGCGACAGGCGGGGAAGCAACAGTCGGTAGGTAAAGCCCAAGCCGTGGCTGACTTAAAATAGAGTGTCCTTTAGCCCAGAGACTTCAGTTCCTGTTCAGCACTTGTCGGTTACGTTTGCAGTAAACCGAACAGCACCCAGTGAGGAAACAATATCATCAGCAACCAAGCAAGCCATCAGGGTTCTAAGTTCAGAATCAAAGTCCCAACAACCAGCGACAACAACAGCAACAACAGCAACAGCAAAAGCAACACCAACACCAGCAACATTCAACAAAACAACAGCCAACAACCAAAATCAACAATATCAGAGATACAACCACGAACGTAGAAATCGCGACGAACGACGATCCAAGATCAAAGATCGAAGATAATTGACAAGTGCCCAAACATATCCACCGTATTAAAGGTTTGAAATCATGCTCTCTACAACAATATCAATTTTTTTTTGTGGCATATTTTTTTATTGTTTAAATGTGCGTGTCGTGCTGAGAAAACTTTATGGTTTTTGATACAACAACAACAAAAAACATAACAAAATACAAGAAGAAAAAAGAGAGAAAGAAAAAATAACAATCAAAGTTTAAGAACGTGGAATGGGAATGAAAGGGACTAGGACTGAGACTGAGACTGAAACTGGGGAGCAGCACAGGGTCTAGCCAGAGGTCAGGTATCTCTTGGTGGCTTTTGGGGCTCCAGCACCAGTCCGTCGAGTCGTCGTCCCCTTCCTTATATACGTATATATTATAAAGCCATCCTCTGTGCTTTTTTGTTGTGCTTTTAAAGCGATTCCCGCTTATGTCGACCTAAGCAGAAAATGTCTTTTCATTTCGGTTCGGTTTCAGTTCAGATTCGGGTTCAGTTCTCGCCTTTCTTGGTCCTCCTTATTCACTCGTTTCTGTTTCTGTTTCTGTTTTCGTTATCGTTTTTTTCTGGTTTTCCCTTTTTTATTTCGAGTTAATTTTCGTTGCCTTTTCATATTTTATGTGCATGTGTTGTGTGGGGTTGGGTGGTAGTTTAGGGACGGTACTGTGGTTATGGCGACAATGTTTTTGGTGGGGGTCACCTAGCGTTTCCACAGTGCGATTAAAGAGTGACATGGCTGCTCCTGCTGCTGATGCTGCTCCTTTCTGTTCTCTTTCTGTTTCCCCCTTTGTTTTGGCAGCTTCCTTGCCGTGGCCATATCACCTTTTTTGGCACTACAGGAAGGAGAATGGACTCGGTTTATTCTTTATCTATTATAGGGCAACACAACGCCACAGTCCCCTTCCCACCAACCCGCGAAAAATTCTTTTTATGCATGGCCCGTGTGAATCATTCATATGCAAATGCTGTGAAAATTTTCATTTATATTTTGTGGACCCCCGTCGGATGGCCACCAAGCCACCACATCTCTACATATGTACATACATAGTACATATCTATGTCAGTGTCTGTGGTCAGGGGACCACTCGAGTGTACTCTGGGGGGGAGAGTAGACAGTCGGCCAAAATTTCCATCAAGTGTTGCCTATTTATCGGCTAACGGCTGGCTGGCTGACTGACTGGCTGGCATTGTTATGGGCAATTACGCCCAAAAAGTAGTTCATTTGCGACCATGACTAAATGATTTCCACACTCTTATCTAATCGCTGCCAGTATCAGCCTGTTCTGGCCCTGGCCCCCCGCATCCAGGCACAGAATCGTGAATGATGATTTGCGATTCCGAGTTCGTCCGACGCGACTGACTGGCCATTAAAATTATATTATTTTTTAATTACTTGCATTTGGAGTTGACGGCGCTAATCTCCTGCAATTGATCCATTGTCGGTGATGTTACGTTCTGATGATGATGGGGAGACTTTAAGCCTCGCCCTCGACAGCAGCTAAGCACTTGGCCAAGGCTGGCATTCTGGCCAATAGGTGTAATTTTTATGGTTGGCTCTCTGCACATTAATTGCAGCCGCTAGCAGCGCATTTCATAATGTATTTTATTGGCTAGGCAAAGTACATACTGATTTTTTTCGATAAATCCAGTAAAAAAATACAATTTAAGCTTAATTATATTTAATGGAAAACTGGCCAAACTGTTGACTTTGATGGAAATGTTGCAGTTCGAACAACGTTTTGCACTCTGATTCCATTAAAAAGCAGACACTGCTGCCCATTTGTGTATTTCATACTCTGATTTCACACCCAATTAAAGAGTAACTCCAGTGAGAATAAATATACGTAAATACTTATTGTATAAATGAGTTCCAACTTGTTAAAAACCCAAAACCCCAAAACAAAAACGAAAATCGAGCTGGTTTTTTCCACATGCGATACTTGGGGAGACCCTTAAAGGGTCCTTTACCTCCTCTCCCACCTGTGATAGCCACCCAAATATTGCGGCTTACTGAGAGGAGAGCCGAGCCTGGAGGGGGCAGGCACTAAGCCGCTTGCCACCAGCCACACGGTAAATTAATTTACATTAAATTTGAGCTTGTTTTTCCTTTCCTTTCGTTTTCCTTTCCCTTCGCTTCGTTTTGCCATACTGTTGTTGTTTTTTCCCTCGTTTTCTTTTTGGTTCACAAGAAATGGCTGTGTTTAATGTACATTAAAAAACAATTACTACAAATATTTTGGAAACTGTTTTCGACTGTTCTAATCTCAACTCAACTCATCTCTGTCCTGTCCTGTCAATCTATATGCGTCCTGGGCAGGCAGGAACTCATCCGTAAAAGCGAATTGCCAACTGCGAATTGCGAATTTGCCAAGGAACTCTTAAGGACAAAGCCGAAACCAAGTAATTGGATTTGAGTAGAAGGATGTCGGACAAGCAACTGGAGAAGAAAATCGTTACTTCTGTGGCCGTGACCCTCCACAGGGATGAACAGGGGGCCAGCTGCAGCTACAGCGTCGGTGATGGGGCCGCTGGAGCCACCGGAGGAGCCGAAGGAGGCGAAGGAGGCCCAGACGCCTATGAAGCCGCAGGAGCCTATGGCGGTGCAGCCGCAGCAGCTGACGGAGAAGTCGTAGGCGGCCTTAATGGAGCCGCAGGTGCTCATGGAGGAGCCTCAGTAGCCGAGGGAGGAGCCGCGGGTACCGAGGTAGGAGTGGCTGTTGCACCTCCATCCTTGGTGGTGCTGCCAGGTGGTGATGTGGAGGATCGCGACAGGGAATCGCAAGGCGACAGGTGAGTCAGTCGACCCATGTGGGTATCAACAACCTTACAGCCCCCGCCCCCTTTCCCGCTATGTGTCCCCTCCGCCGCCCGCTATGTGTGTTCCCGTATGTTCCCGTGTGTTCCGTATGTCCCTGTCAATATCCATTAGCTAATTGGGCATGCGATGTCAAAGAACAAGAGAGAGAGCCAAGAGAGCCAGGAGAGCCCCTGCCGAAGGTGGCTGGCGTGGCCTAGTCTGACCCGACCTGGTTAGGCCCAAAATTAAATCAGCCTTATTACTATTACCATAGCATGTGTATGTATATGTGTGTGTGTGTGTGAGTGTGTGTGTGTGTGGGTGTGGGTGTGTGTTTGGAGCATAACCAAATCATCCAACCATCCATCCAACCAAGCAGTCTTCCATCTTCCCCCGAGCCGCCACCAGGCACCCATGCAGCCACCCTTGACGCAGCTACGCACTGGGTTCCTGGTGTAACTCATCTTTAAGATACTACTATCTACATGTATACTCGTACATACATATTTATGTTTGTACCCCTTCTTCCCACCAACACTCCTCTTACGTACATATCTTTTGTAATCATAACTGTACTCGTTTTCCTTTCCTTCTTGGCGGAACTTGAATATTTAAGACTCAATGACGCTTACTTATTTCGCATTGAGAAGTATAGTGATTTATTGATGTGCTATGGAACTACTCGTACTCGTACTTTTATTTTCAATGCTCCCATTTCCCTATAGTATGTATACTCTGTGTATCTACCTACTTATCCATCTATCTACGTATTCTCTTCTGAAATACACCCAAACTAAAAATCTACTCTCGTAGTCGTGTTCTAACAACTGATCCTCTTATCCTCTGATAGCTTGTATACCCCCAAACCTCGCATCGGTGTTGTAATATTCGATAAGAAACTACACAATTACTATTACATATATGCTTAAATAATGTTATACTATCAATATAACCTAAATATATAGCCATAAATGTATCTATAATTATATAAAATATATACATATATCTAAATATATATTTTTATGTTTAATCTCTTTAATCAATATTCCTAATTGAACCATGATGTGCGATTTCATAAGATATCAAATTATTTGTTCCATTTATTAATTGTACATACGCAAGATTTAATACTATATATATTGAATTTGATCAGCAATTATTATTATATCTGAAGATGGACCTTTAGTTGGGAATATCAAAAGATGTTTGTATGCCATTATTTCTGCACATTTATTCCATGTATGATTAGACCAAAAATTCGAAAAGTGGGAAAAGACTTAAGACAGATCAAAACCAAAAAAAAAGGATTTACCCATCTGTGAGGTTGGAATTTAAGTTGATAGTATCAGAAGACATTTTAATTCTATATTTCATTCCATGACTCCAAGGGGTGGTGGCTACTCCGACCTCTTGAGATTTTAATTCATTGCCAACCGATGAAACCTTTTGAACTCAAAGTGTGTTTGCCGCAAACATATTGTGTTATTGAAGTGGATCTCCTCCTCTCCCTTCTGCTTATCAGACCTATTTATAGCTGCGATTAACAAATATTTTACCAACGGCAGCACAGAAGACACTGACAGCACGCACTTGCCACTTGCCACATGACACTTGGTTTTAAGCCCAGCTAATTATGCTACCCAGCAATTATGGAGAAGAGGCAGTGAAGGCAAAGTGAAAATTCAGGCGAAAGCCTTTCTGCGGCATCGACTTTTCTCTGCTTTTGAGCAACTCTCTCACACACACATCCAGAAAGAAGGGGAGAGAGAGAGCGAGAAAGTTACAACACTAATAGATACTCAGGAGAATTCGCGATAAGTCGGGTTTGTCTACCTTTGGAGGCGGCATCTTGTGCGGCAACATTGACAACGTTGACTGCGAAACGCTTCCCACTTTGTAGCTAATTATGACCCAATTAGTCAACCAACACCACCGACTCCCTCAGTCCCTGCACCATCCACCCCTTTCCCCTCTGTCGCACTCTTCATTCATTCTGGCTTAAATAAGTGGCTTAGCTGTGGGTCACAGCCCCACAGATACTCCCCCAGATACTCGTACATCCAGATTTTTGTTGGGGCTGAAAGGTTTAAACTTTGTGCACCATCTTCGTGGGAGTTTTAATGCGATTTACTTAATATTTATGAGGCATTTTGTGTATTATTGCCCAATTATTGCCCAGATCTCTGATGATCTCTGTCAATTTTTTTCTCTCTTGCAATTTTTGATGTATGACTTTGTGGCTGCTGCCTGCTGCAACGGGCATATCTGAAAGAATTGGATAGAGAGAGCATTTCTACTTAAACTTAATCGCTCGAAGCTTGAAAGTTGGCCCATGATTGAAAGTCTCCACTCAATCATTGGGCACAGCCACAGCCACAGCAATTGAATGCTGCAGTTGACATTTTGTGGTTGGATTGTTTTGGTTTCGATTAAATGCCTAATTGAAGCTCAAAATAAGCTTGCGGCCACAAGTGGCACGCCAGTAAACTGGAGCAGATGTGCGGGGAGTAGGAGTGGGAGTAGGAGCACCTGCAGGGGCACAGCTTTGACTGGGACTCGTGCTGAAGTTCCTTCCTTGAGTTTGTCGGTGATGCATGAGTTGATACACACAACAGCTGCTGCTTGCTGCTGCTCCAAGATTGCAGCTGTCCCCCAGACCCCACCCCAAATGATTGTGCTAACAAATGGTTGAACAATGACAAGTTGTTCCAAAGGGTTAGTCAAGGACCATGGACCATTATCCAGTTACTAGGGATGGAGTAGCTGCTTTGGGTATCACTCGGTAACCAGCGGGTGGTGACAGGGGCGGGGGCGGGGCCAGGGGCAAGTGTCCCTATATAGTTCTTGTTGACTTTATGAGCATCAATTTTTCAAGGAACAACCGACAGCCGGGAGGGCAAGCAATTTGCTTATAAAAGGGATACCGGAAAGGGAATGTATTCAAGAGTATATCCTGACTTTCCACGAGATTTGACAGCATAATTAACAGCCCATTCTCATGGCTTCCCTTACATTCGTTGCCCTATTCAAGAGGAGCATTCCAAAGTCTCTTCTGCATTAACAATATCATTAACTGGGCCTCAACTGGGTTCGGTTTGGTTTGGTTCGTTACGGATTGGGTTGGGTTGGATTGGGTTTTCTTTCGTTTCCGTTCTTTATTTGTTGGTCCTTCTCCTCGTAGTTGCTAGAATGGACAATGAACGAAGCATCAGGCAAGCGGCACGTGATCTGGCTGCCAGATGAGACCCAGAGGAGACCCAGATGAGACCCAGAGGAGACCCAGATGAGATTCCATACCCTGCTGTCAGCCTCCATTGCCTTTTGCCCTGCTCCATTCTCATTACCTGGTACTGGGGCTGGGGCTCTTTGCCAAATTGTTCAGCCAAATTATTAGTTATAAGCTATTTTGCATATTTTGATTCATTTAGTTGGAAATTCCCATGCAAATCAGCTCCATTATGGCGTGGAATTCATCGAATGAGAACTAAAAATGAAGTGCTAATCAATAGATAAGAACTGCAGAGAATTTTGCTAATCAAAACGGAATGTAGAGAACACACATCAAGCTTTCCAGAACAGCAGGAAATTTGATAAGTCGATGGGGTTTTTGGCACTGCATCTGGTACTCGCAATTTAAAACTGATTCAAGACACAAAAAGATAAGCAGACAGCTTGGGTAACTGGTTAGCTTGTGCCAGACACTGAATATTCAAGTTGAATCCATTGAATCAGTGATAAAATATGTACAAAGTCGAATGACAGTCGACTTCCATTGACGTCTCAACAGCTCAACTCGTTCGTTCTTTCGTTCATGTTCATTCATTCAATGTCTCGCCTTCCTCCGAAAGTTGTTGAATGTCACACACACACACACACACAGATAACCAGAACTCACACCCCCAAACACCATCAAGTACGAGTAGAGAGGAGACAGCATATTCTCTCTTTTTCCCATTCTTTGAAGCTTTCCCAGTCTGGCATCTCTCCTTCTGCTCTCCCTGTCTCTCTGCTCCTCCCCTGACTACCTACTCTGGCTTCTTAGTTATGCAAATCTCATATTTTGGCAAAGTTTGTCGCGTAGCCTTCGTTGCCTTCTTGGTACTTGGTATCTTTGTATCTGTGTCTCAGCACTCACTCGTATCTTTTGGATGCCTGCTCGCGAGTCTCTGTGTGTGTCTTTCTTTGGGTGTTTGCTGCAAATTGAGAAGTTGCTTTTTTGCAAAGATTTTTTGTTGCTGTTGTGTTGTCGTTTTGTAAACTTTTTCATGCTGGTATACGTACTTTACTCCACTACAAAATATGACCGCAAAACACGCATTAAAGACGAGCAGATAAGCGCACATCTCAGAAACCCGAACAATGCCTACCATAAATCCTAGCCATATCCTGACAAACTTTGAGGCACACGAGACGCTTGTACAATCTGCTGGCAATCAACTGTTCACAAAATCGAATCCGCATCCGCATCTGCATTCATTTCCGAATCGGATTCAATTGACCAAACGGGCAGCTAATGCGAATGAGATTTCTAATCAACCGTGAGGCTCCGGCTGCGTCTCGGACTCTGTATTTTTGACTGCGAGTATATACCTGCTGACAGCAGCGAGAGTGAGAGGTAGCCTCGGTTCGGTGTTGGGTTTGCAACAGCCAGAAGGGAGTAGGCTCTGACTTGAGCAGAAATCAAAGCAGATTCCACTCCTCGCTCTCTCTCATAGCCAAATTACCCTTGCCAGAGTGTAGTGTAACGCGTTAGTGTACTTGGACTGTGGCAACGGTTCAGTTCAGACTCCAGTTCAGTGATTTACTGTCGCTAATTCCAGCCAGGCCAGCTGCCAGAGCATGCTGACCAGTGACCGGTGGACAGTGGGCAACGTACAACGTACTATGGACTGCCTGCATTGGCATTCAGTGGATTCAGTGGGCAATGGCTAGGCTAGTGTGTCCTTGAATACGTGGTCGTGCCGCACCAGCTAACAGGTTCAGGCACATTCAA